GAAAAGTCTCATTTTATGTAACAACCGATTTGGTGTAACATATTCCCATTTTTCCCCTCACTTTTTTCTTAAGATCATTCTCACTTGGGCCTTTGTTATTGGTGTAACTATATGAATCTCTTCTTACCACTTATTATATTAATTATTACCTTTTAGTTAATACTCTCTCTTACATTAATAGTCCCTTCCCTCAAAAAAATATCTCAAAACAATTGTTAGTACCAAATTAAAATGTACATTATTTTCAATCATACCCTTATAGTTCTCTTAAAAATTGTTTTGATTCTCAAAAAGCATATAATGAATATGGTAATTTAGTAATACATTGTATATATATTGCTTTTTAATAGACGTGAAAAAAAAAAATTTATAATGGAACGGATGGGGTATTCTTCAAGGGGTTTATAAAAAGTGAAAAAAGAAGTAAAATGGATCAAATGGAATCCTTATTAATGTACTTCAATTATAATTTATTAATATTCTTATAAGATTATTATTAAGTTAATTTTTATAAAGCCTCTAAATTGAGGTCAAAACTATTGTAATATAAACTTGAAGTTATTGAATTTTTTTGTTGTATTAGATTATTCTATAAGATGGAAATTTTTTTTGCAGAAACTCCTGCTGCAAGAAATTACGAATGAAATTAGAACTTAATAAATATCAAATTAAATTTATTTCTGTCGATAATTAATACTTAAGTTGCTTGCTCACAAATTCATAAAAATGCCAATACTCTTCGATTTATGATCTTCATTGAATTGTACTTATTTACGTATTTAAATCATGTTATTTTATAAAATATCTAATCACTTGTGTTCTTTTTTTTTCTAATTCTCCTGCCAAACTTTTTTCCTCATAAATAGTAATTTTAATTAAAATATCCAATTATATGATTAAGAACTTAAATAATTATGAAGACTTATCAACTGTCCAGCGTGCCATTAGATTATATATTAATTATAAGTAAAAAAATATGATATAAATTATACTTCTTTAATTAAATTTATTACTTTTATACCTTGAGTTTGGGCCCAGGCCCGGGCCTCGTGGAACTACTGTAGTAGTAATATGCAGAGAATCAATGACTTGTATAAAAATATAGAAGGTACATATGTACATAGCAGTAAGTTAGCCTGAATTGCTGATGCATCAAGTAACCAGAACTCTAAACAAAGCATGAACAGCACAAACTGTATAAAAAACACAGTAATATTCTTCTGAAACCTTACACAACTTAAGAGATAAAGGAAAACAAACCTGTCGTTTTACATACTCTTGTGAAATTTCTCCAGCTAAGTTCCTGTAGAAATAATCGGTTAGCCAATACTTGAGGTGCCAAAATGGACTGGGCAAGAATTGAGAAATGAAACACATGAATTCACACACAAAGTAATGTGTATACTGTTTAGAGCTAGTATCTTAATATTGAAATGGAACATAATCAGAAAGTCATCTCATGCATTACACTGGAAACCAGCATTAACATGACACAACAATATAGATAAACATCTCTGGATGACGCCAACGGTGATTTTGGGTCAGTCAGCGTCCAACATGACTGATCCATCGAACAGCATACTAAATCCCATAGACACAGGTGCAAGTTAATTCTGCCAGGCCGTCACTAAAGCTAAAGTAGATGGGCTCACACTGGATGTTGTAGCTGGGATTCGAGCTTGGAATCTCCAAGTCGTTACTCCTACAGCTCAACCCCAACACTTGGGACAAGGACATAGATACACTTCACTACTGCTATATATTCCTTTCCCCTAAAAATGAACCATCACTCATGCAAATATAGAGTTTATTTCCTTATCCTAGATCAACTTAACACGCAGCTGCGCTAGGTACTATGTTTCACAAAACAGCACATGCCAGAGATTTTATGCACACACTCATTTGCACCATTGATGTCCGTCAAGACTGGGAAATAATATAAATACAAATATGAGCTCGTGAAAGAGCTATACTTCCCAGAGAAGATGCAGATTTTCTGAAGTCATATCTTGGTAAGCTATTCCAAAATAAGTTTTAAATAATCGTAAATAATATTAATATGTTCTTACTAAAGGAATAGTCATATAAATGGGAAGAACAGAGAGGATAAGACAAATGTACTGCCTATCAAACTTACCTAACGTATTCATGTCCCCAGGAACCAATTTCACCTTGAGAGCCCACCAGTCTATACTTCAAGCTCTCCTGTAAGAACCAATAGAATTGATAATAGCCATAAAATAGATGAAGAAGTTGTTAATGTTCACAAAAGCACGAGTAATGGCATATCACACATGCACAGTTATTAAAATACACCAAAAACAAGACATACCCTTTCTCCTTCAGCAGACATTGTCAGAGCCAAAACAGAAAGTATATCTGCCATAAGTTTCTGCATGCAGTTGAAATTGCGTAAGTGAAATTTATTCAACTTCGACAGCAGTTAAGTGCAATGCCAATTCCATACCTTCAAATCTGAGTCTGGCATTTTTTCATAATATCCCTTCAGTGTTCCATAGTGGGGACGCAAGAACTTTAATGGTTTTGGAACTGATGTCATCGAGCTTGTTGATGTACGAATTTCCTGTCTATAACAAAGGAAAGATGAATAAGCATAAGAGCCAAAAAGAAAATGTGTCCTTGCTTATGTAAAGGACAGAACCTAAAAAGTTTAAGGATTGAAGATTTAAGCCGGCGTCTGATTTCTCATACAAACTGAAGATAGGAGCTTATAGGCACAGTCTAGAAAAAAAAAAAAAGCTATAGTTTAATCTTCCACAGATATTTCGAGGATGCAACATTATAATGTACATGCTTCATATGCATGTAGTGCTTGCTAATTCTCCAAAAGGCTATCTTTTACACATGCTTACAAACATTTTCCATCTGTTGTCATGTCTAACTTGCCATGTCTAACTGATAGATTTAGAACTGTCAAAGGGGGTCACAGTTCTTTCTGTTAGATAACCCAAAGAACATGTCCGCTAACAATAAAACTGCAACTATTACATTTATATTCAAGAACGTTTCTTCTACTACAGGTGTACTTAGCATATACGCACAGAGAAGAGAAAAAGGGGAATGTGGAACCATCTTCAAGCTGCTATCACCTTAAAGCACTAAAGACAACTTCTACCAGGCAGCTCCCCTCCTTGTGTGTACCCGGATTTCCCTCAAAACAACACAGCATGCGAAGGAACTAGAATATCAAAGCCCGAAAAACATATTTAATCTCCCAAGTAGAGCTTAACAAAAGCAAGAGCCTTTACACTATCTATAGCTGTAACCATTGTCCAACTTCAGCTCACCTCAACAACCCCTTAATCCCAAACTAGGTCAACTTCGTTTGGTGAATCCTCAACATCCACATACCCGAAAAAACACAAAAAAGAAAGGGTGAAAGAGAAATACCTCATACTCTCAAGTGCAACCTTTTGCAGTCCTGGATCAGCATCTTGAGCCCTCTCCACATACAGTTCCAATTGCTGCTTCAACGCCAAATCCTCCTCCGACTAATCCCAGCAAAATCAAAAATCATACAACGAAAACACAATCTAATCAATCAACTTTTAAATTTTGATTCCGTGATAACTCTCTTAGCACAATATCCCTCAAAATTAGTAACAACAACTAAAAATTCCAAAACTAAAACATTCAAAATTCGATTTTTATTCAAGTTCACTTACGAGATCTTCATCCTTCTTATCATCCTTCTTCTTTGGGTCCTTAGAAGGAACCTTAATTGTTGCCTCTTCTTTTGTAGACTTGCTGCCGCTAGCATCTGTACTGTTTGGATCCGGAGTCTTCGACATTATCAGCTAAAACCCTAGCAGAGAAAATAGAAGTAGTAAGTACAAATTTATTGAATTTGATTGTGCAATAGCTTGATTTCATCAATTCAAATACAAAGTGAACATACAGAAAATAGCACTGATGTTGAACACTGACGAGAGAAGAACAAAGGTTTTCGTCTTCACCAAGCAAAAGTTGTACTTGTTTGGTTTTTGTTGTAGCACTTTTTTTTATATATTTGCAGAGACAAAAGGGGCGAAGATTTGTGGGCTGCCCAACTTTAACGGCCCATTTATGGTCATAGACTCTTTTCAGCCCAAAATGGTACTACTTGTTTAGTATGGGCTTGCTACTGGATCTGGTAAATAGAGAATGGGCTTGCCACTTTAACAGCCCATCTTAGATTAAGTGGGCGTTTATATTTGAAATTTAGTTTGACCACGAATACAAATTGGAGTTTTTTTATTATTATTATTATTTTGAGTAATTCGGAGTGAAAATACTTTTTGTTGTTTTTCAAATTCTTGAAATTCTGAAATTCAACTTCGAGTTTAAAGTACAGAATGTATGGCCAAAATTCTCAATCTTAAAATTAGCTGTTCATATTGCATAGATTAGTATTTTTTTTTTAAATCCATATTTAATAGTATATATATAGTTGCCAACTGATCTAAAACTTTAAACCCGAGCCTATGCAAAGTGCTTTTCTTTTCTTTTTTCCTTCCTGAGGGAGTGATAAAGGAGGCAAATGAAATGATGTATTAATTGAAAAGACACACATCTAGAACAAAAGTAAGATGCTCATGTAATCTTTTCTCTCTTATTTTTTCCTTTCTCAGACTTTTTTTCCTTTAATACAATTTTGAAAATCTTTATGTAAAATTTGAAATTTAAACTTGAAAAAAATAGTTTATTGGCTACAAACCACATGAAATTTGCGTACATATGATCTTTTTTTTTTATCTGACAAGTTTATAGGAGTCTATATCGTGGATCACTAAGATAATCTGCTCAAATAAAATAAAGCCACCACCTCCATCTGTTTCTCAATCGAACTTGTTGAAAAGTACCTGCCTAATGCGGTTTACATGTTTCGTGTGCTACAAATGTCCTTGTTACCAAAAAAAATAAATTGAAGGTACAAAAAATTTTACTACTTGAGTACAAGTTTATAACCAGGCATGAAGCTTCAATGTCATTATAAAAGTTGAAAAAATTCAAAAGTGTTAAACAACACAAAGTTCCCTTGGTCTGATTTGCAGAACTATAAAAAAAAAAAGTGTTTGCAGACACAAGTAGAACTAATACACAAACACTCACTCATAATAACTTAAAATTCAATCAGCTCTGTAAAATCTATTTGAATATCCTCTGGTTTTGTCCTTATGTTCTGAACCAATTGATAAATGTTTTATCTTCAAGGAAGTTCATACTGATCCTCAGTGCCTGGATAGTCCTGCTGTCTTTTGAACTCTTCCGTGGTCATTTTCTCACCATTTTTACCATAAAAGTAGTTGCCATTGTCCGAAAATCTTGTGTCACTCAATCCTTGTGTTTCCACCATATTCGCATTGTTATTGTAGCTGCCAGCATGATCGTTGTTGGGATTCTCATTCTTGATGTCATAGGAGTACTTGCCATTGTTCAAGAATCTTGTGTCGCTTAATCCTTGCCTCTCTGACATATTCTCAGAGTATCCATTGTTGTTGTTGTTGTAACTATTGGAGTAACCGTTGTTGTTGTAATTCTCAGAGAAAACATTGTTGTTGTTAGTGTTGTAATTCTCAGAGAAGTCATTGTTGTTGTAATTCTCAGAGAAACCATTGTTGTTGTTGTAATTCTTGGAGTAGCTATTGTCGTTGTTGTTGTTGTAATTCTCAGAGTAGCCTTTGTTGTTGTTGTATTTCTCGGAGAAATCATTGTTGTTGTTGTTGTAATTCTCGGAGAAAACATTGTTGTTGTTGTTGTTATATTTCTCGGAGAAATCATTGTTGTTGTTGTTATTGTATTTCTCGGAGAAATCATTGTTGTTGTTATTGTAATTCTCCGAGAAAACATCATTATTGTTGTTGTTGTTGTTGTTGTTGTTGTTGTATTTCTCGGAGAAATCATTGTTGTTGTGGTTGATGTTGTTGTTGTAATTCTCCGAGAAAACAGCATTGTTGTTGTAAGTCTCAGAGAAATCATTGTTGTTGTTGTTGTAATTTTGGGAATAGCCATTGTTGTTGTTCTCAGAGTAGCCATTATTGTTGTCCGAGTGGCTATCGTAGTTGTAATTATCAGAGTATCCATTGTTATTGTTGTTGTTGTAGGAGTCGTCCGTGTTGAAACGGGCACCTTGGAATTCCTTGGCAGGAGTTTGAGTTTCTACATCATGATCAAAATTTGTGAGAGTAGTAGAAGGAACTTTCTGAGAATGAGGACCATAAAGTCCATAAGGAGTGTCACTCAAAAGTGGTGCTGGTGCTTCAATGTCACCTTCCTCTGGTGCCCCCGCCGGTGTTGGCATGCCAGGATCTTGATCATCCCCTCCTGATGATGGTGTTGGACTTAAAGACGACAAAGGAGGAAATCCAAAATCATTAAAGTCCGGTGTTGGTGCTGGTGCTGGTGCTGATGTTGGTGACGAAGTTGGACTTGACGATGAAAAAGGGGGAAAACTAATTTCATTAGAAATCGGAGTAGGAGCAGGTGAAGGAGATGTAGGAATGATCATAAACTTGCTATTTCTAGCTTCAATTTGCACAAATGGAGTTGAAATCACCAAGAACAAAATGCACACCACTTGCTTGATGAAATGCCCCATAGTGAAACAAAAATGTTTTAAAAGTAGAATATTGAGGTGTATTGGTTTCTTGGTTCTTATGGAGGGTTTATATAAAGTAGTTAAAAGTGTATTTTGGTTTAATTTAGCTTTCCGTGATGATGTGCGTAGATTGAGGAATTGTGGGGAAAATTTTAGTGTGATTTGTGGGGTAGGTAAAATTATGGCTTTTGGTGCATGCTGCATGTGCTATTCCATTAAGAATGTCTAACCAAGAAGGCACCTTAATTATAGGCAGAAAATAAAAAAAACATGATTTGGTCCATAGTCAAAAGATAGTGTGTTTATTTGTCTTGTGGCTTTCTATTATTAATATGTCTCATATTAGTTGATCACTTTTTTATTTTGTACGTTACTTAAGAAATTATAAATAAGAAGATAAGTTTACTAATTCACTCCTCAATAAATTTCTTTGAAAATTTTACAAACAAATGTGAATATTTTTTTAAAAAAAAAATTGCAAGGGTAATATAGAAAAAATTTAAATAATACTTTCTTGATTTAGTAAGGTGGACAATTAATGTGAAATAACTATTTTTAATTATCGACTAATATAGGACGGATGGGGTATTTTATTTTTTTTCTTTCTTGCTTTCTAGATACTTAAAGTCAGATTAATGTTCTCAAAATGTAGGGTAATATGAAATAAAGAAAAGGGAGGGGTAGGGGCCCATTTATAACTAATTTAGCAGTTGAGTTAGGTGGATCACTTTAGTCAAAAACTTCACTCTCTTTTTTTTGGCAATTTGAGTTTCAAGTTTGTTGAAATTCTCATTTTCAGAATGGCTTTCTTTTCATATCACTAAAAATATATTAAAAGAATTACTTATGGATAAATTTGTCGCTAATGGTTTATTTAATGATATAGTCTAACGATAAATTTTGTAGTTCTTTTGTTTTGGTATACGTAAAGATCTACTTTTCTCGAAAAAAGGAAAAAGGTCTGAAAAATATTTCAATTTTAGTCGAAATTGTTGTTACGATATCAAATTTTATGTAAGACCTTTTATCCCTGCAATATTTAATAGTGTATTTTAAAGGTATATATATGCCCACGTAGACACATTACAATTTATAATAATGCAATATTTATGAAATCGTAATTTGCTCCTAAGTAGCAGCTTTCTAAGAACATAATGGTAAGGCAAAAAAGGGTAAACTAATTTTTTATGTTTTCCGTTAGAAATATACATTAGTATTTTTCATTTTTTTGAGGCCAAATGAAAGTACTTTTGTTAAATTGAGGTCTTGGGTTCGAGTCTTGTGTATGAAAAATTCTTGATAGAAAATTCTTTCCTCCAAATGGGGAATTCAGAATGGACAGTCACTATGCGGATACTGAATACCGAGTGGAATTTTTTTTTTTTATTGGGTTTTGACGACAAGGATTGATAATCACATCCCTGGATTTAATGTAATTAGATGCCCACTTTCACATGTTTTATGGTTTCATTTCATTTTCATAAACCAGCCATACTTGGCTTAAAACGATTCAAAAATATTCTTAATATTGTGGTGTGATAATGTCAGCCCACTTTAGATTAATTTCACATGGTTTTCTCCAAAACACTATACATCATCAAACATATTCAATACCTTATTATTAACTTTTTTTTCTTTTCAATAGTAACATAAGACTTTATTTAAAGGGAAAAGGTACAAGTACCCCATTAGATTATGACTCATATCTCAGGGGCACACTCCTTAATTAAACTAAGATCCTATTACCTCCTTGAACTCATTTTTTTTGTAATTTTATACATCTTTTTGGCTTATGTGGCATCCAAGTATATATCTCCCATGCGCCTCAATTCTGTGGAGCCACGGAGTGTGCCACTTAGGCCAAAAGGTGCACAAAATTATATATAAAATGAGTTGAAGGGTAATAGGACCTTAGTTTAATTAAGGTGTGTTTCTGGAATTTCGATCATAGTCTAGGGATACTTATGCCTTCTCCCTTATTTAAAAAGAAAATAAAGCTAACAATTGTCAATTTCTTATTTGAATGACTTTCAACAATCAGGCTGAATATAAGCAGTTTATCTAGCCGATAATTATGCTGATATACCTAGAGGACCTTGTGTTGCATGTATCATAATCACAAAATTGGCATGAGAATAATATACATAAGATTTCATTTTCTTTAAATTTATTTATACCATCTTTTGAAAAGAAAGAAAAAGAATAGCATAATATATGCTGCATATAAGCTAAAATAAAGAGGAAAAGGAAACTTATATCTCGAGATGATATCTCAAATTGTCACTTAAAAAGTTATATTTTTTTTAATTTCAGTTTTCTTGAATAAAAAAATAATTAAAATAATAACTATTAATTGAATGCTCATATGAGAAATCAATTCATATATCTCGATAATAAATAGATTTATTAATTTTTAGTGAATCTGCCAACGGCGTCAGAATTACGGAAATATATTGAGTACCTAGCTTTTGAGCAGGACATCTTATTTTTAATGGATTCCTCCCTTTTTACTCTCTTTTTAAAAAAATTAAAAATAAATAAATCATGTCTTCAGTCTGATATCGAAATTAAAAAAAAAACATTTTTCTGTAATTTGTAAGACACATTGTGTTTATTAAGGGGGTGTGTATGGTGGTTTGGTTCGATTTTTTATTTACCAAATTAAATGTGCTATGTCGTCTTTTTAAAATTTATAAATCAAATAAAATTAAATTAATAAGATTTTAATTTTTTTATTCGGTTCATTTTTTCTTTCAGTAAAGTCTTCACAATATAAAATATGTAACCAATGCTTGGAAATTCCTTTAATTATGGTAAAATATAATTATTATACGTGTTTTTGAAGAAGATGAAAATTCATAAAAAAAAATTATTAATGAAAGATAATAAAAATCAACATGATTTGATTTGGGTTATATTTAAGTTACCAGATATTTATGAGATATAATCTTACAAAGACTTATTGTAATTTATACCATCGAAAATTGTAAGTTCAAACTTAAAATAACATGTTACGACACATGAATTATGGCAAAACCTTCTAAGTACTTACAAATTACATTATAATATATATCACGAAGTATAAAATATACATTTAATATATATATATATATATATATATATATATATATATATATATATATATAAACATAGTGTAGATTGGTTTGGTTTCAATCATGACTTGTTTTAATTAAATCCAAAATAAATTAATTATACTCAACTCTCAAGGGATGGGGTAGGGTGGAGTTTCAATACCAAATCAAGTCAAATCAAACCGCTAATTAATATAATTTAGTTTATCCATTTGGTGTGTTTTTGCAGTTTCCTTGAACATGCCTTTTGTGTTGTACGAAGGAAAAATATTTCACCAAAAAATAATTAATATTTTCTTAATACATATGCAAAATAAAAAATTTATAGTATATAATTTAAGCGAACACCATAGGAGTGAGATTGAATGATAAGGTGTGGGTGTGGGGAGATGGTTGCTATGGGGTTGGTGAGGGCAAGGGTATATAGGTGTTTCAGATGGAGCCACGATTTGAAAATTATGAATTATGAATTCTAATATGTTTAATTTACTTAATTTTAAATTAATAATTTGTAATTTTTTTTAAGACAAATACAGAGTTATGAACCCAAGCTACGTAGTTGAACTCGCAATCAAATATTCTTATTATCTTTCACTAAACATATTGGGCCTTTTTGGATAGTCCATATTTCCTAATTGGGGCCTTGATTGGTCCAACAAATTTTATTTTATTTTTTTTGCCTTTGGGCCAGTTATCCGATTATGTTCTAGGCCTTCAAAACACCATAGCATGCTATCAAGGAGCTAAAATTAGGCGATTTTTACATAGTTAGGCGATTGAATTCACTGTTTACTTTTCCTAACTAGTATACATACATTATATAAGGCTATACACATCTTATACATGAACATTCTTACTATATAAAGGGAAAAAAAACATAGAAACATTTAACCTTATTAAAAGTGACATTAACACATGTTCACTATTTCTTAATACATAAGCTGACTATTTTACATCGAATATATATTTAATAACATTCTTCAAAAAATGAAACTAGGTTTGGATAGCTTAGTTTTCAAGAGTCTACAATTTAAATATTTCTAGTTACATGGGAATATTGTATGAAATAACAAATTATTAATTCAAATTAAATGTTATAGCCATAGTTTATTTTATTTGTAATTCGCAGCAAACATCCCATTTTTTTGCCATCTGATTCGGTATACAATTAGTCATTTTCGGTATACAATTAGCCATTTTATACATTTCGGTTATAAATGTATAAAATGTGTTTGTGTTTGTATAAAGCAAGAGAAAAGTGTATATACAAATACAAATACATCTATTTTTGTCATATACACCTATAATTATACAAATACAGATGTTATTATAAAAATTACAATGTATAAATGAATTTATACAAAACTGAACAATTTGTATAAAATTGAATGTATCTAGCGAATTATACAAATCAAAAGCTCCATAGCAAACATAAAATTTGTTTTGGAGCGCAATTATACAAACTATAGCTACAACATACAAATATGATTTTTATGTTTGCTATAGGTAAAAGTTGCTCATATTATTTTGATCTATTTTTTAATTTTTCACACATTATTATAAAGAGAGTCATGAGGCCTTTCTTCATGTCACTTGACAGTGCAAAAGGTTTTAAATAGAAAATGTAATAGTTCAGAAAGGTAACAACAATATCCATATATAATTTAAATATTAAATTGACAAAACTTGAATAATTTGGAAGGGTAACAAAATTACTACTACTATTTTTTTTTAATTGCCAAACAATAAAGTGAAGAAGAAAAAAAGCATAAAAAACAGAAGAAAAACCACAAAGCATATTCTTGACAATTGTTAATTAGTGAATGGTAGCCATTTAACGTCAATCAATAAAAGAAAAGGACTTATCATATATTGGCCTTTCTATCATGCAATTATATTCTTCGTTTCAATTTCATAAAA